GGAGAATTTTTGACAGTAAACTCGGGGAGTTACGGGGGCAAAGGTTCTTGATCACGGGAGTATGCATATAGGTGTAGAATAATGCAAAATTCTCCTGGGGGAGTAAGGATTGTTCGTACCTGCTGCTGTGCGTTTCTTCTTTGGCGCCCCCTTTCCACGGAGTTTCCGTCTGTAGTCAAGCCTGTTAACATTTGTCCCAGCACAAAGGATGCCTCTGCTTTACTTCCAGAGGGTATAGATATATTTATTTTTGAGAGATCGTACATTTGGTTCATTTCCTCGTGATGTGACCTCAATGGATCAAAAGTAATGAGGCCCATGGGTCGATAGGCCCTTTCAAGATCTTCGAACGTCACGGTCTTTCTTGGGTAATACGAAGCAAGAGCGGCTCCGCGTAGTCTTTGGCGTAGGATCTTATTTCCAAGTCGAAGGTTTTCGGGATTGAATGTATGGGAGAAAATGCGGCATTGGACCTGGTCAGACCGTACGTATCAGTTGAGATTGTCTTCAGAAATGCCTTGCACAAGGGGTGAAATTTGAGCATTAGCTGTAATCCAAATAAGTACACACCTTTAGCAAATCCAACATCCGCGACCTGGGAGCAGCCATTCTGTCAACTGTGCGGGTTGAAATTAGTTTGAACTTGCTTGCTGCAGTGAAAAAGACGGTTTCTATTGTGTCGTTGACGGTTTTCGAATGATCTTGATGCCCGTGTTTAGACTTTCTATTCTTGGCATCGGCGCGGCTAGATTTGCCGAGCGTCCTCCAACGCCAAAATCGCAAGAGAAAGCTCCAAGTTCACAAATTGTTCAAATTTTATCTCTGTACCAAGTAGGATATTTGTTGTATTTTTACCCTATGGTGATGGGAACTAAACGGGTATCGGAAGCTGAGAGCTCTCAGAACAGTTCCCAGAATTCTAAACGGATAAAAAAGGAAAAGGTATGTACCTTATCCAACCTACGCTTCTTCGGGTTTGAATAACTTATCGGTATTGTCTATAGAGAGGACCTCAAGAGAAAAAATCCAGCGAAACAAGAACAAATGACCATCCTGCAGACAAGCTACCAATCCAGTTTCAGCTTATACAACTACAAAAACTTACCCGAGATTTACTCGCTCAATCAGACAATATCGAAAGTACAGAAAAAGAAAACGCGAAGGACCTCATAAAGGGATTAAAACGCATAAATAAGGCGTTCGAGAATTCAGAAAATACGTCATTGAATTGTACCAAGCAGCTACCACTCCCACCTATATCGAGTGGTTTACCGTCACCAGCAGGAACACATTGCGATAGCAAGCTACCTCTACTACCTCCTATCGGGGATGAATCCTTGAAAACAGCCGTGTTTACACACACTGGTATCATGGAGCGAGGTCCAGTATCCACTCAAACCTCGGAGAAGACATATGACAGGCTGGAAGTACTAGGAGATGCATACATCGAACTCATCTCGACTAGGTTAATATGGGAAAATTTCCCTACCTTGCCTGCTGGGAAAATAGCACAAGCTCGAGAAACCATGGTGAAAAACGAAACTCTAGCCGAATACGCAATAGCATATGGCTTTGATCGGCTACTGAAGACCAGTTCGGATATAAAGAACGTTCCAAAGCGATGGACGAAAGTAATGGGCGATGTCTTTGAGGCTTATGTTGCCGCAGCCATTATAGCTGACCCCAAGGGTGGGCTTCAGGCAGTAGAAAGCTGGCTAACGCAATTATGGCTGCCAAAACTTGCGGAGGTGAAGGTTCCTTTGGCATCAGTTACACTAGCACAGGGCAGTAAAGCTTCTTTTAAAGACAAGCTTGCCGCCACAGTCATGAGCAGAGGGATAAAGCTGCAGTATCTTGAGGAGAAACCACGACAACGCGAGGGTGGATTGGTTACTTCGTTTATCGGAGCTTACCTCACTGGATGGGGTTACGAGAAGAAGCTCCTCGGATCCGGAAGCGGTTTGAGCAAATCGGAGGCAGGCAATGAGGCGGCACTTAATGCCCTGAACAATAAGCCTCTAATTGACCAGATCGCTGCAAAGAAACGAGAATACGATCAGAATATGGCAGCTCAGAAGGCCGCCGCCGCAGCAGCAGCAGCGTCAAGTGCAGCAGAGACAAGCTGACATGTCTGCATGCGCCAATGACCAGAGATATGATGATCCATAGGCATCCGACGTCCTCCTTGCCTCTCTGTAAGAATATCCATGGAAGTTCGAAAACATCTTAGCTGAATGAGCTGTATACAAACTTGAATTCTTGCATCTCTCCACCAGGGTCCCTACGTACAGTTTTCAGCCCGATCACCCAAGGATTCCCAGCTATGGATACAACATAAACTGCAAGTCGCATTATTACTACTAGAAGTCGGAATTCGCACACATATTTCTGAACAAAATAAAAATCTACCTAAGTGCAGTATCTAGCAAGGTGCTCCTTTGATGGCCGGCCTCCAAAGAGACATCAGCTACGAATCCGCAGCCTGAGCAACAATACTACCTATCAGCCATAACTAACAATGGTGATACCACCCCCTAAGACGGGGAGGAGGCTGAACGTTATAAAAATAGCTCTGCAAGGTCCCGGCTTAGTCATCTGAACTGACCAATCGCATCCACATGCGACGGCCCGCTCTCCCGAAACGGCAGTTCGTGCGAGTTGTTGCTCCCGTCGAGCGGTTCAGCGACTTTTACTGCATCAACTTCAACGCTTGCATGTACTTCCTAATCCGACTAAGCGACGCAGCGGCCAAGGAGTGTCGACTGCCGGCTGTCCGCACATCATGGCGACGTGTTCACTAAAAAAATACCTGGCAAAGGCCTGACCATCGTTCAACGTTCATATATCTCTGCTCTTACTATTTACTCTTGTGATATTTATTCAATGGATGCTGAAAGGCGAAGACGTCTACGGATAGCCGCCGTAGTTGTAACTGTGGCAACGGTTATCGTCACTACTCACTACATGTGTCGAATTCAGAGACGTCATCGTCTACGCCGCGAGCGTGCACAACTGTCTCAAGTCCCTTCAAAACGCGCCAAATCCGCAAGGCGTCGTCAACCTCGTGTTTCCCAGGCTCCGTCGAGATGTTAAGCAACTCGGCTAGACGACCAGGAGGAGACTTATGGGGCGGTGGACTGTACAGGGGGGTATGCTTTGTCTTCAACAACGTGCGAGAGCGACGGAAGTGCATATTTCGGGGGCGGGGGGAAACCTCTATGGCTTTCTAATACGACTGCTCTCCTCTGGTACGATCTAAATCAAGTTTGGAGTTGCAATGACGTGGAGCTAACCGCTTCCTGTGATCAGACGCTATTTTTCGTTTCTTTGGTCGACCTTTAGGCCATCTCGGGACTCGCCAGGCAACTGCATTTTTGATCTAGTTCTGGGCACAGGTTCGATGCAATGCTTCATCTTGGATTACGAATCTCTCAGAAATTACCATAGTGTGGGGCCAGACAGACGTTTTGTTTCTTTAAGCTTAAATGCGAGCAAATGCGAGATTGATACATGTTCAGCCAGGGAGTCCTGCATAGCCTCTCCCAAAGAGGAAATGTTTCGCTCCATGCCTATCCACGGCTGCTGGAGGTGGATGAAAAGGGTATATAAAGTGTTTCTCTGTCTTGTACTTGTTCCTGATATTTTTGAAAAACATAGCATCGCTTTGGCATAGCATTCAAGTCAGTGTTGTTCTCGTCCTTATAATATAATTACTCATACACACCCTTGTTGACTTCTGTGGTGTAACTATCACTAGCGCTCTTCGGGTCTTCAGCGTCAATATACTGCGCCAACTAAACCCTCCCAGCAATGCCGGACCAAAGTCTCTACTTTTACAAGGCCTCGTTGCCTGCAGCAGCCGTCTTCGCAGTGCTCAATGCTATCCCCGCAGCGTTCCTCTTCTACACCACAATAATTGGCCCCAAGACAGGGAAATACCGCAATGCCTCGTTCTTCATCCCCTTGTGCATCGGCGGTCTTATGGAGGTATTGGCATATATCGTGCGCTGCATCAGCATCAAGATGGACAGAGTTATCGCCCTTTACGCAGTGTCAAGTTCCCTCATTGTTGTTGCACCGGTTCTAGTTTGCGCAAGTCTCTATCTCCTCGTCGGCAGGCTAGTCAGAGCCGGCCTCCCATCTTCTGGAAACCAGCAACGCATCCTAGGCATCAATCCTTGGTGGCTACCGCGTATATTTGTCACATCGGATATCCTAAGCTTCTTGACGCAGGCCTCTGGGAGTGGAATCGCGGCGTCTGGAAACTGGGAGGGAAGCACAAAAACAACCGGTGAAAATGTCCTTAAGGGCGGTTTAGCTTTACAGCTGATCACCTTCACTCTGTTCCTGGCTTTGGTTGCTCGATTCCATAGTCGTGCCAATGCCGTGGCTAAGGGTGGTGTCGACAGCGGTGTTTTTAAGGTGCTGCTGGGGCTGTATATATCGGGTTTTTTTATCGAGGTAAGAACCATCGCACCCTCAAAATTCTGATTTCCCGGCGGGACGGTCCTCCTCCTAACACTCTCCATACAGGTTCGATGCGTCTACCGTCTCATAGAGTTCATCTTGGGTATCGATGGTTATCCTTTCCGCCACGAATGGCCACTATATGTTCTTGAAGGGTTGCCCATGCTATTTGCAATGTTCGCACTCGCATACTTCCATCCTGGAAAGTGGTTGCCAAACGAATCGTTGAATTCCGAGACAGACAATGAGGAGATGCAAAACAGAAATGGGTATTAAGTCATCGGGATACGTCTTTCCCTTTCTTTTGTTGCCTTGGAGAACTCATTTCTTGGCTTAGTAATTTGTCTCCTATATGTTCCATCACAATGCGCCGTTTGGATTTATTTTTACCCCCCTGAACACACATAACACCCTTACTCCTTAAATGCCTAAGCAGCGAGCTTTATTTTATTTTTATTTTTTTGTTAATCGTCGAAGAAATCTGGGAATGGGTTAGTGAGATGTGTCTGGTATTATTTCATGTATCGGTAGCGTTATTCCCCCAGCATTGTATTTTCACAATGATCCAAGAAGGTTTTCCGTAGCTTGCTCCCTACTTCGTTAGAAAATATTTTGTACTCCATTCCCCAATGAGCGATAGCCTCAATGGGCCACCTCACATACTTCCTAAGGTGAGACGGCAATTTTCTATAAATGACGTCTACCCATTGGACCTGGTATAATGTCACTTCAGGCACCCTTGCACGCGCAGGGATAACAGATAATAACATTGGAACCATCATTGTCTCAATTGCTATATGGTGGGCGAACAATATGAGGGTGGAGGTATTTTCCGCTGAAATGAATTTCGAGAACTGGCTTGTACTAAGGTTGTACCATGCGGAGTAGTTTTTCTCATATATCAGAAAGGTATCTTCAGAGGAATCTTGAGCAGCAAGAAGGGTATCGAGTAGACATTTCCAGAAATAGGCATGGGTTTCATCTTCCAACAAGGTAACTAGTGACTGCACTGACTCAATCCCACTTTTCAATAGAATCGGGTTGATGTCCAAGTTGTTAGTGATCTTTGGGAGAAACTCATTGAGATCTGCAGTCTGCTCCACAGGGAATACGCTTTTGCCAGCGTCCTTCTGCTTTATCCTAGTCGTGATTAGAGAACAACCACGAATGAATACCACGAAATCAAGAAGTGCATCGAACATATATCCGGATTGCATCGTTAGAGCGTAGCAGGCGGCAAGCATAGCATCCAGCTCTTCGCTGCTGGGATCTGGCTTCACCAGAAGCTGGTTAAGACCCTTTATTGCCTGTCCCCGGTGTTCAATTGCATTTGCATCAGTTGTCGGATCTCCATGCGGGCGAATGACGGAAAGATGGGATGCGCCTAAGCCAAGAATGGCATGCATAACGAACTCATGCTGGAATGTAACTTAGTGGGATGGGGAGACCCTGGGTTGAACTATGGGGAGGCCTAGAATTACCTGGTGGGCAAGGAGCGGGATAGATGCTACCCAAGCACTATCACTACCGAATGGGAGGTACGGATGAGCTACCAGCAAATAATGGTGGAAAAAGCCCATGTCCTGGAACGAGAACGGCGTTGGATTTGGCTGAAATTGAATAACTTCAGTAACCCCATTATTATAATTGCTGGCCCGTACTCCGCGCGTCGGGTACTCGCATTTCAACTCCTTTGAGATGCAGTTTTCACATTCGGGCTTCGTCTCTGAGCACTGTTTTGCTATGGTCAGTTAAAGGTATCGGATTTATGCGAGATAATAACTAACGAACCTTGATTTTACGTGACTTGCAGTTATAACAACCAAAACGAGATTTGGTATGTGGCCGCTTGGAAACCGCTTTTATCTGACGTCTCGAAACAACCATGTTCATCCCCGTTGAATGAAGTCAGTTTGACGAAGCGACGTTGAAGCTGCAAGCATTCACATAAGCGAAGCAGTTGCGTAGAGCTGCCAGTGACTTGACGCCAACACGCTGTATATACCCTTGAGAGTATATATATGTATTGGCACAGTATGGGAGCCCCAGGGTGACGAAAGCAGTTTACGTATTCCGTAGTCGTCCGGCCGGCTGATAGGTAAGCGGTCTCCGTTGGCGGCCTGGCCTAATTGAAAGACTGCAACACGAGGAAGGGCAGCGACCTCAATGCATAACAATATCCCGGCAACTAATGGTTATATAATAGTTATGTATCTGCAAGGCCCAGTTCCCAGTAAACGAGAAACCGTGATATTCATAGCTGTTGTAGGCCTCTCTCTCCGTGCTAGAGCATGAAGCATCGGAGTTGAGCTTGTGCCTCAACATCCGAAATCTATTAATATCCACCAATGATCACACTAGTTAGTTAACTAGCTGGACATTTATTATTGTTTCAGGCCGAGGCAATAGAAATCTGAAAAATAGCGGATTGTCAACGGGTTCTGGCGACGTTCTCCATCAACCCCCAGGCCTGTCATCGGAGAGCGGATAGTTAAACTGGCACGGCGAGTTACCCAACTTGCTGCATCATTAATTTACTTCGAGGCACCTGCAGGCAGCTTCGCAACCGGCTTACCGAGGCCGATCCAGTGTTTCATGTCCATTTTACTGTTCTTGGGCCTCTTTGCTTCCCAGTAACTCGTTAGCCAGTAGTTGAGCTCTGGATCGTGGCCCATGAGGGCATCTTGGAACCGCAACAGCAGATAACCACGATCTTCTAAGGCTGCATAACCAGCGATTAGCATTCATTCATAACCAGTTCGCTGTTGTTAACCCATTTCTGGAAGAGATACGTTACCTCATGAGTTGCACTCCGTAGTCTTTTCTTTTTGTAGGTGCACAATATGGTGTAGGGGATCTTCGGAAGCCATACTCACGTTAAAGACCACGATCCGGGAAGAAACCTGCTAAAATATATACCTATGAGGAGCCCACTGGAGAGGAGCGGGGGAATAGTTCACTATACACCATCGATATACTGTACTGGCCGTGAAGTGCGGTTGTGTAGTTAGTAGAGATGCAATAACACCACTGGATTATAAGTTAGGTAGTTGGTTAAAGACACGGCCCGAGCTCGGGCTTCATGAAATAATTTTAACTACCTCCAACTACCTACCCAATCTACTACCTAGAGATCAAGATACCAAAAGGTAGATTCATCAGTGATCTAGATACCTCACAACACAGACATGTTCGCTCAGAGACGTTTAGTGACGTCGTTGAAAGCGGTTCGTCATTTTTCTGCTTCCGCCAGATCCTCTCTGGAGTTGGCACATCATGTCTTTCAAAATCCCCAAACTGCCGAATCCAACGGAAGGCCGATTATATTCATCCATGGCCTCTTTGGATCCAAGCAGAATAACAGGGGTATGAGTAAGTAAGCAGACACCGCTTGTCTATTATCAACATACTACATTTATATACTGATGCAATCCGTACCTGGCACAGGGTTTTGGCAAGCCAGCTGGGAACTACGGTCTATGCTATTGTGAGATAAAGCATGCACACACATTAAATCGGACGTGCATTTTAGATGAGAACTAGACATTGACTGGATTCATGGTCATTTTAGGACCTCCGAAACCATGGCGATTCCCCGCATGTACCGGAGCATAACTACGATGTTATGGCGGATGATGTTGAAAATTTCATAAAGAACCGCAGTCTGGAGAAGCCAGTACTACTGGGCCACTCAATGTTGGTGCTCAACTGTATTATTGCCACTGATAGAGCTACAGACCTGCTAATAACTGCATTAGGGGAGCCAAAGCAGCAATGCATCTTGCTCTCCGTGCTCCGGATCTGATCTCTGCAATCATATCCGTGGACAATTCGCCAAACAAAACGAAACTAAGTGAAAAATTTCCGGCATATATCAAATCTATGCAAGAAATTGAAAATGCTGGTGTAACCAAGCAGAGCGAAGCGGACGAGATTCTGCGGCGTGTTGAACCGGTGTGTTTTACATCAACTGCCTCTACCAGTCTATACATGCCTGGCTAACATCTAGCTAGTCACTTCCTATTCGGCAATTCCTTCTTACAAACCTTGCCAGGGAGCAAAGCGGGCAGGCTTTACGGTTCCGAATCCCGTTGGCAATTCTTGGCGAATCATTGCCACTTCTAGGAGACTTCCCATTTACTCAATCAGATACTGTTCAGTTTAGCGGTCCAGCTCTCTTTCTTCGTGGGACTCGAAGCCGATATATCACGGACAAGTCGTTTCCCACCATCCGGCGTTTCTTTCCGAACTATAAGTTAATGGACATTGATGCTGGTCATTGGCTAATATCGGAAAACCCTGATGCTTTCAAAACAGGCATGTTAACCCGGTGTTAGTTGATTTTGTGACAAGCTCTTACTAACTCTGGAATTAGCCGTCGTGAATTTCATGAAGACTCTTGATTAAGCGCTGAACTACTGTCCATGACATTCATTAGTGTATTTGTATCGTGTTCGGAGAGATTGGAACTAGATCATAGAGACAGAGCATTTTGGCTGAGATATATTGGTGGCCATCATAGATTATTACAGTTGGTACAAGGGGACTTGGTTACAACTTACGAGTTGGGACGTTTAGAAAAATACAGGACACTCTTGACTTTTATCATGAACTGTTTGGATAAGGAGGCATAAAGGAGGTTTGGTTAACATAGTCAAAAACACCGAGGAGAGGGTACAGAAAACAATTAAACAGCAGCGCCCTTTGTTATTTCCCTTTGAAGTAAAGAAATAAGCTCTGCCATTTATATCAAGACCATACGCAAGGGAGGATGGGCGTTAAATTCATTAATTTTTAATTCCCTCCCAGCTCTCAAATATGACCTAACACTGACCACGACTCCTCCCGCTGTTATTTCCGTGGTAGTAAAAGAGACATTATTTCAGATGCTTAGACGCTGTCCAAAACCTTCTCCTTGAATTCTCGTTCGACCTGTTGCAAATGAGTTAATAATGAGGCTGCAGGGGAATAAGGAAAAAAAGGAGTAGATAGAGATGTTGATTGACTTGACTAACCTTCTGTCCCTTGTCATCAGTGCTAGACTCGCCATGGAGAGCCAAAAGAGCACCCAAATCGAACTTGGGTGACTTGAGGAGCTTAACCTTACGGATGTGAACCTATTTATCGCATATCAGCACAAATCTTGTCTTGTATGATTCAGTAGAAAACGAGGGCTAAACGCACGTTCTGGAGAGGGTAGATGCCCTGAGTGGACTTCTCGATTTCGCGACCAATAACCTCGGGGACGAGCTTGGTAAGCTGGGTAAGAGTGCAGCTGGATGCCTGGCGCTGCATAATCTCGGTCATCTTCTTACGAATGGCACGGATCTGAGAGCTCTGGGCATAGGTGGTCTTCTTGATCTGGTTTGGTCGTCGCTTGGTGAAGGCAATGGCGAAAAGACGGACGAGGTAGTCATCGGTGGTCTTGACGGTGACGTTGGCCTCGATGAGGGTTTGCCATTTGCGGACAAGAGATCGGAGCTTGTCAGATGTGAAGTCCAATCCATGGAAGTTGGTCAAGCAGTTCTTTCCCTGGACTTCATCGACACGTAGCTTGACCTTGCGGAAGGAGTGGGCTTCATCCTTCTGGAGATCGGCGAGAGAGACCTCGAAGACACGGCCCTTCAAGTAGTCGTTTGCGTTCTTGAGACCGGTGGTTCGGTTGACGAGGGTTTTACCAACACTTTACACAAATCAAGATCAGCTCGCTTGTTCTCCTGCATTGAATTCCGGATAGGAAGAGGGGTTCTCAATTATCTAGATGGAGGGTCATACTCTCGGACTTGGAAAGTGGTAGGGGCCTATATTTATTTCGGGTCGTTAATCATCCATATTCCAGTGCGATTAGGATCGCGATGTCAAAAACATCAAGGGGACAGCACATACCTTCACGAGGTACTCGTCCTTTCGTGTGAAAGGGTCCACGGTTCTCTTCTTAAGGCCCTTCTTGCCCTTCGACAGACGCTTGTTCCTGGTTTCCGCGGTGGTTAGACATATTTCCTGACGACGGTAAACATGCTGTATAGAAGGATATGCTCACTTTCCAACAGCCATGATTGCGATTCGGGGTCTATCTTTTGCAGTTCCGAAAGACAGACAATCCGTTGGGCGTCGATGGGTTCAAATCGTGGTGGACGTTGTCGGCGTTGTGATATTGAAATCAAAAAAATCCCACAAACTTCCCACTAAGCGAGTTGTGCGCGCTAGCCCATTTCCGATTGTGTGCTTATGTAAGACGTCGAAAGCTGTTTTGCGCTAAACCGAATATAGACGTGTGAAGAAATTTGTCATGAGATTTGATTATGTAATCAGTATCTACTAAACTCAAAATTCGCTATGTAAAAAAGTGCGGAATTCGTATCTCAAGAAAAGCCCAAAGATGCAACAACCAGAGCCTGTCCTTCTAAATAAGACCGTAGACGGAAGTATTTGAGAGTGCAAGAGTCACCCGGAGTGATCGATTCAGCCTGTTGAAAGTGTCGGCTTGCTCGATCAGTGCTAATAGGGTGTTAGAACGGCGAAAGCTGTATACTATATAACGTTCCCGGATAACTTACATCAACATCATCCCACTGACGTCCTTGGACATTCGAAAGCTCCTCTAAATTCATGACTTTACCGCTGGTGACTATGGGAATTTAAAGTTAGCCTGAGCATAGCTTAGGTATGTGGAGCATAAACTTACAGTAACCAGCATGGATCTTTGCATCGATCTCGACTCTGCTGTCCTCCGGTATCAAGTCATCTGGAATGGGTACCCGTTCAACGATTGGAATGCCTTGTTCAACAATTGCATCGTGTTTCATGCTGGATAAAGGTTAATCCTAATCGGGCACTAAGGCATTGACAGCGGGATACTTACTTGGACATGCTGAGCATTCGATCAATCTTGGTGATACCCAACCAATGCAGAATCTATGCCGTGGTTAGATGGAACGTTATTGGAGACAGCTACAATACTTACATCTGGCATTAGAGCTTGGAAGCGCATATCCTACTATTTGTTAGCACACAATTTGGACTAAGAGTGACACAGGATATACCTTAACACCAGCGATATTCTCTGTTCTCTTGAAGTACTCGCTTGCACCTTCAACAGGGTTAGTAATACTCGAGAAATTGAAAGAATGAAAGACATACGATCAGAACCTCGTTTACCTGATGGACGTTCGTCAGCTTGCAATGAAATTCAATGGTAGATGAACAGAGTGAACCTACGGGCATTATAGACCAGATATTTCGTGACTTCACCGAGTGCTCGTCCTTCCTTTCGGAAATATATGACCACACCACTGCCACCCTTCTGAGCTTCCTTCACAGCTTCTTCGACTCCAAAAATGAGGTACGGACGGCAAGTGCAAATATCAGAACCGAACACATCACTACCGTTACATTCGTCATGGATGCGCAGAGCAAGCTTGACATTTGGGTCGGACATTTTTGCGGGATCGCCGAAGATATACACTGTCAACCCTCCAATTGGCGGTAGGAAGACTTTGATGTCTCCTCGGGTAATGAGCTCTGGGAACGATCCGCCGGTGACCTCAAAGAGTGCACGCCGCAAAGTGCCCTCATCTAAAACCAAAGCTGTTAGCACAGGCCAAGAACAAGCGGAAACCAAAAGGACAAACCTATGCCAAACCGTTCAGCCACCCCGGGAAGGTACCAGACTGGTTCTACAGCGACCTTGGTAACGGCCAACTCTCCCGTCTCATTGAGGCAAATCTTCCCGTCGGGAACTAGTCTGCCTGAACGAACACTATCAGCAAGCTCCGGCAATTTCATGTGCGCTCGAGTGATGGCGATGGTCGGACGGATATCCAACTGGTGGTCCGTCCTCAATTCGTCGAAGAGCCATGGGGCAAGATGACCCCACGGATCCATAGCAACTATCTTTTTCTTATCGCCCCATTGCGGGAAAGGCCCAATCTTCGTTGCGGGTTCGGTGTTGGTAAAATCCGGTCTATGTTCGGTATCTAGATTGTTGCTAGCGACTGCGAGAGCATGATAGATGGAGTAAGATCCTCCGTGCGCCCCAATGGCTGCAGGATAAATGAGGCTTATTAGCGGTGAACTTTTAAACGTTCAAGGAGTGACGTGTCACCTACCATTTCGTCTTCGAACAGTATCATACTGTCTGCTGACAACAACAGGCCCTCTAGCCTTTGGATCTATGTTACCCCAGTCCATCTTGATAGGGTCAATACCTGATTGACCTGGATAGGTGGTGAGAATTATGCGAGATGTTCCGCCACGCTTTGGAGATTTAACTGCGGTGGGTGATCTGGGCACACCCGTTGTGTCCTCTGCAGCAGACCTCAAACGCCCATCCTCTCCAACGCCAGGTGTAGGTATTGATTCTGGTGGGAATTCTCTATCGAGTGATTGCTCCTCCGTCATCATCTTCACGATACCCTTGTTGAAGGATATGTTCTCGATACGCCCGTTCATTGCGTCCAAAAGGAGACTCAGCCTCCCATGGTCAAGCTCGAGTCTTTTTACCGCCGCCAGCACCTGTACGAGGATAGGATTCTCTTTTTCATCGGCTGTCTTGGATGGTGGATTGTTCGAGGTATCTGGGTTCTCTTGCTTAGCCGTCGTCTCCTTCGGCGCCGTCGGTTCGGTCTGTTCGCCTTTGGACGTCATGATTGATCCTAATTAGGTCAGATAGATGGGGTAGGGGTTAGCCAGAGGAATAGAATTCTCCCGGTGTGCGCCGGTGAAGCTCTATCGGGGGTCACCGCTTGTAGGAAAGACGCAATTATCCAGTAGCTAGAGCCAACTCCAACGCCCGAGCAGGGAGAAGAGGCCTTATATAGCCCAGAAATTTAAGAAATGACCGGTTATCAAAAGAAAGGAAAAGAACCAAGAGGAAGAAGAAGTTGGAAACTAATATAGAAGTGTCCGGCATCTTTATATCCCCAGCAGGACTAAAGAAGTAACACTAAGTAAGGTTCCTGTCCAGGGTCTCGTGATGCGGGGAGAATCAGCTTCCTTATCTGGAAATTCTGATTGGCCCCAGCTTTAGGGTGGGTCAAAATAATTGACTAGGCTTGTCCTGGACTAGTGGAAAACTTAAGCCTTCCTTTTGCTTAGTCAGCCTGACGTTTTGTTCAAAGTCGCAAGAGACAGCTGCAACATCGAGCCAGCCAAAAAGGCCAAAGAAGCAGCAGGACTGATATCATTAATACCACTTTGTTGGTCGAGTGTTTCCCGTCCTCAGTTACCAAAAACCACATTACGAAGTGACTTGGAAAGCAGTTGCCTGGCTGGATAGTGAAAGATTCCTACTAATATCAGGCGGGCCACTCGATATGGTGCGAATTTCAGCTCTCTTCTTTTACGACCTACAAGCCCGTACTAATATTTCTCTTCTGTTCAGGGAAAACGCAAGAAGTCAACGCGGAACACAATTAAAGGCCCCAAAAAGGTTCGCTCTTGCCTACCACCTTTGGTCTATTCTAAAATTTTGGGTGTGCGTGCTAACACCAGTTGCTCTGAGCTACACAGAGCGAGCCTCTTCCTACGACCTTCGACTGCCTATTCTGCAACCATGAGAACTGTGTGCTTGTGAAACTCAATAAAAAGTTGGGGTTTGGAAATTTATCTTGTAAAATATGTGGGCAGCGGTTTCAGACAGGGATCAACTGTATGTCCTATGATCCTTTCCCGAGCGCAGTATCAATATCTGAACTAACCTTTACCCTTTTCCCTTGAATGATAGATCTCTCTGCGGCTGTGGATGTATACTCTGATTGGGTCGATGCTTGCGATGCTGTTGCGAAAGAGGGACCCAAAGAAGGGGCGGGGTCTAGTGGTGGCAGAGCGGATCATGACGGCCCTTCTGCTTCTGTTGCTCCAGCTATAATTGATGAAGGACTTGATGATGACTACTAGACGCTGCTCTGTTCTCCTCTACCCTCTATCCGCGGGTATCTTCTTTTTTATTTGGCGTTCAGGATGGGCTTCTTCCCTGGGGCTAAGTGGCATATTTATCTGGGCACATGCATACATATAATTACGGGAATACCAAAGGGAAGCCTTTAGTGGAGTCATCATCTTCGTTCTAAAATGTTTCATAATGATATATTGATGTGTGTGACAGCTTGGTACTTAGCCATCAGAGGGCATCATCCGAGCTTTAAGCTCGGTTTAACTGGACAGGGGATAACATCCGACACCAGAATGCACTTCAACAACCTATAACTGCAGAGATACGAATGCCATATACCTTAAAGAGTATAGTATCTGTCTCCAAAATCACCCAGCCCGGGTATTATATACCTAAAAAGACGGGGGTTAGCAATGTTGACCATTAACGAAGTGCCAAGTACGACGGAAGACGAACTTCTTTTCATCCAACCCTTGGTCGATGAAAGCGGTAACAACCCTGAGTTTTGGGAACCTCTCAGCAAAGTCAGCAACTCCCGATGGGCTGGCAATGAGATTTATAAATAGAATGTGGTCTTCTGGTACGCCCTTCGACTTTAGAACTTCAACAGCCATAGTAGCAGAGCCACCTATTCCGAGTCTGATTAGCATACTGTAAACAGTTGAGACACCACTGTATGAAACATCTGCTACTAGTTAATCCTTACCAGTGGCAAACATCGGGTCAAGTAGAAGCACCCATCTCTTTGATATATCCTGCGGCAGTTTTTCATAAAACAGCGCAGGTTTGCATGTCTCTTCGTCCCTTTGTATCAGAATCTTTCCAATCCGAACGGATCTACAGCAGTCACGAAGACCCTGCTCCATTGCTTCGCCGGCACGCATGATGGAAACTCCGCATATTTTACCCTCGAATCCAACTCCTCCATAAGTATGGCCGACTGGGGTCGTGACCGTCTTCTGCACGACAGGGAGATGATTCAGTCCTTCTTCGACGAGTAGACGGATGATACGATTAGAGTAAAAGACGAAATCTGCTCGACAGGTCCGCTGGTCCCGGATCATACTGTTTTTATCCCCAAAGCAAGTTAACCAAGGGTCCGGTTGTTCATTATGCTGGAAAAACTCACGTCAAGAGCGCAATCAGCTGCGGTGTCTGTGGCAGCACACACACATTCTCATATTTCACGGCCTTCGACACAGTAGCAAGTGGTTTTTTATCATCTTGCATAGATACTGGCCCAACTCCCCTGACTGGTCCAGGTTCGTTGGATGCCATAGTGATTGTTGATATAGCTTTCTACCAGCTTCGACCAGGACAATAGACGGCTCTTCCTCTCCTAAAACGCCCTTAGCAAAACCAAAATTCAAGCATAAGAACTGTACGACTGCTTCACAAGCAGCTCCGTATGATATCACAAACTTGAGGAGATTTTGATATTCACTGCGTGGGAAGAAGAGCTTTAATTAACGGGTGATGTTGTTTAACTTATGTGCGGGGAGGCGCTTAAGCCATGTGATGAGGCTTGAAAACAGTCAAGACAACTCGCTAGTTAGCTATCATATTAAAAGCAAAGAATACAATAATGGGGAGTATGTATATCCTCGAGAGCTGAGAGCGTATTCTACACTTAGTTACTCTAGCTCCCGAGTTATTGTGCTCTCGGTTGTTGTTTTCGTTGCCGCATAAATGAGAGGCACCTGAACGTTTACCCTATTTAGACAGGCTAGGTTAGCCTTTGGAAGATGTTTTGCAGGAGACGCCAGAGCTCCTAGGTACGTCTGCTGTACAAAGTTTTTGGTCTGATACTGGCGGTTTTGCTAGTAGTATCTTAGACCATGTACTCGAAGTAACACCTTTTGCCTCGGTTTTAGATAATCCAATATATGGCAGAGGATGAGGCTGAACGAGATCACGGGGTTTAGCCACTTTCGACGAGTAGTTACAGACCAAGCCCACCAGTTACAACTACCATCGCTGCCCACAACATCATCATCATCAACAACTACAGCTATAGCCGGCATCAATTCCCACAAAAACTCGGCTGAGCCGATTCTAATATAATGGATGTCCATTGGTCAAGCTGTATGAGGGTATTATACTGAATTTTCTATGGAGATACTGTAGCGGCACTTTATCGGTACAGTCTATGCTATCTTCCATCTACCAGAATGCGCTGTACGCGTTTGACAGACCGTCGCTGTCGCATACAATGCAAGAAAATGAAGAGCTAATGAATGTTCATGCTTATTTATTAGGCCAATCTATCTTCACAAAGCGGGATACATGCGGCCTTCCGATGACAGACCCTTTGATCCGTTACTGCGCGCAAGTTTGCGCTACCTTCCACCATACGGCTCGGCCTCTATAAAGTCTTGGTTTGGCCTTAACTTTGCTTTCTTACCAAGTTCTCGAAAGGAAAAATGGGGTTAGACATGCCTACAGCCGACAAATCCACGCCATCGCGTAATATACGGACGTATGGTAAACAGGCGCGCAGTGGAGAAAGCAGGTTTCTGGAGCGCGTTCCTAGTGACGTGAATAAGGCTCACGGAAAAGCAAATGACTCCCCGTTGGCAAAAAGAGGGCAGGCCCTGGAGACTAGGAAAAGTGATACCCGAGATATGGGATCCTCGACAGCTATGCGCAATGCTGCATCGCCCACAATGCCGCGTACACCCAAGGAGAAAAAGGAATTTGACATATATGATGTTCAGCTATCCGACGAGGACCGTCAAAGCCGCTCTCAGCCATGGCTTAAACGAAGGAAACTGAACACGCCCAAGGCGGTCTGGCGGTCAGAGGAACTCGATCGGGCTGCACCAAAGAACACCCCGCCCAGGAAAGCGATCACCTATGACGCTGCCAGTACCCGTGGGAGCAAAGATGCGGCGTCCCATCCTATAAAAGAGAAGAAACTTCCTGAGGTGGAAGTAGTCATCCGCTCCCCGGCCAAGCCTAGACAGGATGTTAAGACACGTACCTCGAAACAGAAACTGGAGCGACCTCCGTCTAGATCGGCAATGCAAGGTGGTGCTAGCAGTACCTCAACCAATGCGCAGTTTGTAGCTGCAAGTTCGCGAGATCTTCCAGTACGGGAACGACGACTTACCACGCCACCGAAAAAGGTGCCGCGATTGACAAAGTCTCTCTCTACGGGTACTGACCGACTGAGGAAGACCTATGGCCGTTTTGGTATTGGAGTTGGGGAGCGGCGTGATAGCCCTGCAAAGACGATCACACCTACAGCGGAACGAAAACGGATAGTCGATGCATTAGGCGGTAGACAGACGGCAGATTCTTCGAGTGATTCGTCGGGTGACGAGGGATCTGCTAGGGACCAGATATCTCGGGCGAACTCTCATAGCCCAGTACGGTCTACTGACCAGCGATTTACAGTTGATACAATGCCATCAGACGATACAGGAGCTACCCGTTCTAAAGGGCAAAAACAGAACAGCATCCATCAAGCAGTCGCAAGCGGGCTAAAGGTGACCTATTCCCGACAACGATCTTTTCTGAACGAAATGAACACCATAGAGGAAATAGGTGGTAACCTGTTTGATTCCGGGTTTCCTCCTCCGCCTGATTCGATGGCAAGCAAAATAAGTGGCTCTTCAAGCCAGCCACCATTGGGCCTGGCGCGCCAAACATCCGCACTTTCGGCCTGCTTGGAAGAAGAAAGTATAAGCGGCCCTAGTACGATACGGAGTATTCATGAACTCCGTCGTTCCGGAGATAATGCAAGATATCATGCCATGATCGACACCATCTTCGAAGATATTGAAGACAAAACAGCTTCTATATCCAGGCAGCGTAGTGGTATGGTTCAGTTATGCACAAAGCTCTTTGACGCTCAGTTTTCGCAACGCTTCCTAAGCAATGCCTTGGAGAAGCGATTTTCTAAGATAAAGCGCAGAGAATTTGATCTCGTTTGCGGTTATCTTACTTCTTGCGTCTATGCGTTATTGTTAAGCTCTGGCTCGATATCACCGATGACGTTACAAGATTGTTGGGCACAGATCCTTGCAGTAGCTCCATCCTTACTCAATGAAGATAAAAGCATGATTGAACTCGCCAAGCGGAAGGACTTGAAGATGACGAAGGCTGGCAAGGCGGATATCCAGGATATTTGCGGCAAGTTAGCAGCAAGCAAGATCTGGAGCAGCCAAACGCCCTCCGTTATAACACCCCAAATACTGACGCTTCGTTGTCTCGAATTATCTGTCCGTAAACTCCGCGAGACGGGTAACTCTATGGAAACCATGCCTGTTTCTATTTTGCGCCAAGTTATCCGTATTCTGATACTGCATGCGTTGATAGAAGATATCCAGGGAGCATGCCCAGATGAACTTCTTATTCTTGAACTTACACTTTCAATCTTAGAGTCATATACCATACACACCATATCCTTAAACGAGGAACAACAAGAGGCACTAAAACCCCTTTCAAAATTGGGCCACTTGTTATCGATTTTAGGGCATCAGCAAGACGTTCGATGCAGGCAGATACAAATTCTTGAAATCCGACTAATTCTCAACGTTACCAACAACAATCCCACCCTCTGTGAGGAATTTTCTACCCCCAGGTTCATCGAAGCGCTCGCTCACATTATCATTTCCAATTTTCAATCCGTTGGAGACGAAACCACGGGGCCTCACAAAGAATCATTGCTGGATACAGTGATATTAGCACTTGGGGCCCTGATAAACCTTACTGAATGGAGCAGCGCAGCTCGACGTGTTTTGCTTGAATCACGTGTAGATAATACTACATTGATTGACAGGCTTATCCCCCTATTTACCAATGGTTTAGAATCCATAGCAGAGGTGAGTGATTGTTACCTTAGTTTCCAAGGCGGAACTAGCGTTCTTTGGGAAATTCCCACATTGACACACCTTTTCTAGGCTGATTCTGTGGTCCAAACGCACTCCAACGTTGCATTTGGTTATTTATCCGTCCTACTTTGCACTGCTTCTCTTGATGACGAGGCACGTTCTTATCTACGCTCAACCATACAGTCTCGTACTTTTGAGCGTCTTCTAGGCACGGTGGAAGAATTCCTTCATTATCACCGGAAAGTGGAGGACGAGCTTCATGACGCTAGGGGGGATGCAGAAGATGCAATGACAGGATTCACCTCTAGACTTCAAGGGATCGTTGATCGCATACGTAATGCCGATAGATCTTGAAACCAGGGACGGGTGATGCTAACAATATTATGAACTATGTGATATAGATTATACTAATTTTTGTTAAATATTCTCACTTACATCCCTTGATACCTCTGAGAATTGGAATGTGACCAAATTCGAATGTGGTTCCCAATGTACTATTTGTGGCATAAAGCCACCGCATCTAGTGCATGTTCAGCCTCCGTAGCAATCCGTATAGCGAATGCACCGTTTGGCATGGGCTCCATAGACTACGTATTTCAAAACATCAAGTACCTCTACAGAATAGTACTAACAAGTAGATGTAGTCAAGTAGCTTAGGTAAATTGAAGGGTAAAATGATTAAAAGGAGCTATAGTTTTCAAAAGGCATTATTTAAAGTCATTATGGAGTATTCAACGTATGTACAAGAGTTATACTATTATAGAACAATCGAAGCTTATCAACTACTAAAACCCTACAACTATCTACACTGCGTATTAAACATGTCGAAAACTGTAGCGAGAAACCGAATCAGATACCCCACGCTGCCTCTTGTCGGGCCGTTCCGCAACTCGCCAAGCCAAGAGCAACCTTGGAGGCTTCAAAATGAATGGGCAGCTTCGTGGTCATTCTCTTTCTAAATTGAAGTTGAGATAACAAACAAAAGGTTGAGTTGACCAGCCCGCAAAAAGAGCCACAGTGAAAACAAGTGGCAAATAGAGCTTGACCTGCATTGATATTGAATTCGGACGAATAGGAAATGCGACAACAAGCCTGACGATCAGAAAGATTACGGTGCTGACTTCTTGCGTACCGCACCGTATTAATATTGTATAATTCCGAATTACGTGCCCGCGTAGTCTGTCTATAGTAGTTATAAAAAGTATTACTATATTAAAAATACCCCC